TGTAGGAAATGATAGATATTTGAAAAAAGAGTTTGTCATTTCAGAAATAAATCATTGAACAAAGCTGCACCATCGGGTGTATATCTTTCTAGCTGATGGCATTATAGATATTCGTTGTAAATATACCAAGTAAAACACACGTTTATAGTTTGAGAATATTTTTGTATAAAATGCAGAATGGAAAGAAAAGCCTCTACTTTCAGGAAACATTTGTGTATTGTTGTCTTCACATTAAATTTTGTTGTGCGATAAGTATGGTCTTATCTCCTTATCAGAAAGAAGAAATGCATTCACCAGAGCAAAAATGTTAAAATGGTACGAAAGGCTTGATATATTTTCTTTTCCTAAATTACTTTAACAAATTACTGATAAGAAAATCTTATTTGAACCAAGTCGAACATAAACAAAACGAAAAGTGATTGCGACTAGCTTACACCCAGATGAGATGAGCCTGTGTTTATTCAATCTGGTCGCTCATTAAAAGAAAATTCATAACAGAGAATAATGAATGAGTGTAGGTTCTATATTGAATTTATTAAATTATTTAGAAAATAATGTTTTGCGAAAAAGATCAATAAATTTATTAAATAAGAAATTTCCAGTTTATTTGACGAAACGTTTTCTATTTAGCGTGACGTTGTGTCACTATGACGTCAGATATATTTGCACGACACATCCGTACAGTTTTTTATTATAAATGATTTGATCAAAACAATTACATCCAATTCATAAATTTGCCTATCATATTTTGGCGTTTTTTTCCGCAAAGGCCCCAACAAAAACAATCAATTTCTTACAAAATAGTATTGCAGGTATCAGCAATAAAAGAGTGCCATTGAAATTTGCTTATTAATTTCTAGTGGTTAACATTTTACCGACCGTGATTTACCGACCATGATAAAGTTTCAAATCGGATTTCGATGTATTTATCCATGCCCGAGAACCCGTCTGAAATCATTCATGCGCTCAGATGACGTCATTATCTTTATGAAAGAACAGCTGTAAAAAATACTACGCTACTATGATAATAGTGTTTACGAAGTATATGTTAGTAACATATACTTCGTTAACACTATTATCATAGTAGCCAGGTCCAAACAACCCTTCTTTGTAGAGGCCGAATATAGGCTGCTTCCCCAACCAAGCTAGTCTCTTTTTTTCTCCAGTTTGGTCCTCAAAATTCCCCAGTTTTTTGATATTTCCCATAGAATTTAGAACAAAATTAAATGATGGTGTTGAATAAAGGTCTTTTACTGCCTTATTAGTATTTCCCAGTGTTTCTTGCTTGTCTATTTTGAAGAACTTGTTAAAAGTTTGTGTTAAATTTGAGACCCCTTTTCCCAAATGCCAAAATCACGCATATTTTCCCCAAGAAAAAGGCTGAGGCTCCTTCCCCAAAGATGGTATTTTGGCCCTGGTAGCGTAGTAATCAGTTAGTGTTCATCTGTGCTGTTCTACAGAATTTAGAAACTTTGACAGGAGCGATAGCTTCTTATTTCCGAGGAACAGCGGATGAATACTAACATACTTAGTGTCAAGCTTTATTTGGCTCCATTAATATTTGCTTTCTTTCGTCACTTTACTTGTCTATTTTACGAACACGGTTCTATGAAGCACTATAAAAATAGAAGTTTATGTAGTGTCCAACTTTATTTCTCACCCTATGAAAGCGCTGTATTTCTTAAAAAAATCTGTGCGTTAATTTTCATTGAAGAACAAAAGACGATACTTTATCGAATTCCGTTCGTAGTCGATTTCTAATTTTCATAATAATTCATAGAACAGCATAGTGACGTAATAAAGTGCCAAAAAGCTTGACACTATGTTATAAGTATTCATTTGTAGCTGTTCTACAGAAATTAAAACATTCTTCTGTCGCTATCGCTCTCGTCAAAATCTATAATTTCTATAGAACAGTACGGATGAGCACTAACAATTTATACATAGATATTTGAAATTTGGGATCAAGTTTCACCTTTGACGAAACTTTATCTAAAAATGTTCAGATCACCAAAAGGTGGGAAAGTTGCTCTATATTCGAGTATGATATGCAAGAAAACATATCACTCGTGATTACCTATCGGATTTTAATATCCATCCCACCGGCACCTGCACAAGGGCTATAAGTTAGCAAGCATCGTTACAGCCCATTGCAAAAGAGCCCTCGGATCGGATATTTCTATCCGATACAAAAACACATGACAGATATTATGCAAACACTAAATAATATTCAGTTTCTTTATTTGGTTCTACACATCCTCTTATGTCTTGTAACTGGTAACATAACTTTTCTCTTATATAGAAAATCAATTAAGCAGACAAAAATGCGCCGTAACGTTATCACTTGATATTTTGTGCGCCATACGTTATCATTTCTGGGAAAATGCCCCGCGATTTTAATATTTTTTCCAGCGGTTATTCTAGCCAAATGGCATGAATGCTTAGATGCCTACATACTATACAACTTTTTAAAGTCAGTGGTTTCAGTTAATATACATATATGTAAACGAAACAGTGAATTTTAGAGAAGAAGCCGTACGTAACCACGATCAAACCGGTGGAAAATTCTCTCGCTTCGAATCTGGTGACGCGCATTTCAGAAGAAGTACGGGACGAAACATTATGAAATAAATTTCTGTATGCCAGGAAAATTGTGGAGAAGATTGTTATATGTACCTTTACACAAGAACATCACGAATTTCAGAGAAAAAAGGGAAAAACCTACTTTTTGGCAGCATCCGCCATCTTGTTTGTTTGGGTAACGAACGGCGTGATTCCTCCCCGTGACGTGGTTGTTAGGTAAACTGCAGAATATAGTAAGAATGTGAACTAACTTGGCAAAATTAAAGATCACACATGATTTGATTGAGCTTGAACGGCATTGGTTTAATACAAGCTACAGCCCATCCCAATTACAACGGGCTTGAGCAAAGTTTGACTTTCATAAGTTGCAATGGTAATTACAAGTGATTTAGAATTTATAAAAAGCCATGATATACATTTATGTGTTCTTACGGCAATTAACATGAAATTTAGAGCAAAACGAATCTCTAAAAAACGCCAAAAACGGCAACATTTCAAATGTTGCAGGCTCAGTTTTATTGGACCTTTCTATGGACGTTACTGGAAAGTGCAAGCTACGGTCTATGCCCCTTAGCATCGACTTTTTAAAAGCAGAATGCAACGTACAGTGTGACGATTTTATGTCATTCCGTGAGCACATTCATACAGTCTCATTTGAAAGGAATGGGTGTGCATAACAACACCATACAATAGGAAACAGGGAAAACAAGACAACGGATACTATTATACATGTAATACTGGAGTCGCTGAAAACTACCTGTCAGGATCTGTCGAAGTTTTGACATGTAAAAATCAAGTTTATGCCTTTTAACTTTTATTTAATAATAATAAGGCATTGTCATACAAGTTCTAGACTGAGTAAAATATTTCATAAATTTAATTTGTTAAGGTTTAAAGCACACCATGATGCAAATTATTTTTCGGATTACATAAAGTGAATGAAATAAGTAAATTCAAAATCTGTTGTAGAATTGCTGCTGGTCAACATTTTTGCTCATAAAGCTCCTCTAAAATATCACATACTAGAATTTGTCCCAGACCAAATGAAACACAAAAATGTAAAAATTTAGACATTCTTAGGATTCTGTGAAAAAAAAAATAGGTAAACAAGGTAAACATGACACTTCTTGTAAATTCCTTGTCTGATTAATGATTTAGAAGGAATAAGTCATGGTTTATATAACCTAAAAAGATCATTGCACCTGATCAGTAGATGACACCTAATAATTTTGAGACCATTGACTCAAAAATCAGGGTCACAATGACGCTAAATGTATTTAATCATTGACAAATCAATAACTTGTATTTATAAATGACACTTTTACAGGCAGGTGAAGTATAAGGGCATCCATGCACTAAAGCACATGTCTAGTTAATTAGTAAAATTCATATAAATAGTGTAATCTGATTGTTTATTTATCTCGTGCGCACGACTTAACTATCTCGTGGTCACGACTTAGTAACGCGTGGTCACGAGATAGTATCTCGTTATCTCGTGGCCACGACTTAGTAACTCGTGGCCAAGACATAGTATCTCGTTCCCACGACTTAACTATCTCGTGGCCACGACTTGGCCACGACATAGTATTTCTCGTTCCCACGACTTAACTATCGCGTGGCAACGACTTAATTAGTAACTCTCGGCCACGAGATAGAAACTCGTGGCCACGACATAGTATCTCGTGGCCACGACTTAACTATCTCATGACCACGACTTAGTAACTCATGGCCACGACTGAACTATCTCATGGCCACGACATAGTATCTCGTGCGCACGAGATATTTAAAAACACACACATGTCACCTTTGCGACACCGTATTAAATTGATTTGAGAGGTATCAGCTAACAAAAAGAGACTGAAGATTCAATGAAATGCGTCAGAATCGCATGTGCAGGCCCGTCGTCACGATTTTGTGATTGGTGCGGCCAATTTGCTTGGTTAAAGCCAAATTCTAGGGGGGTACGGGGGCATGCTCCCCCGGAAAATTTTTTATTCTAGGATGCTCTCAGGGCCGTTTTCCCGTATATTTGGCACAGTTTACAGTCTGCTGTTAGTACAAGTTATAGTAATATGTTAACGATTTTTTACAGATTTAAGTGCGTCGTGAAGCACGGATAGGTGTACATAAAAGATGAATACATGTAATTGATATTTGGCAAATGAAAAGCAAACAATAACTGATGTTGTTATAATTCTTTAGATGTATTTTATCTGATAATTATAAATAAACAAATACAAGAAATATTACAGTACTAGGATTATTGTTTAACATAAATCACACAATGGTATAAGCTTAAATAACAATCGATGACATGATGGAAGAATAGCACATTATGAGTCAACAATAACCACCGTTTGTTTAGCTTGTAACTTGTATTTTGTTCACAATCATCTTACACAACAAAGAGTCTCATTCTATGTAAATTTCCCAAAAACACATCGCCGTCGTTCTCTAGTGGTAATGAACTCATCGGCAATTACACGTAAGTTGAGTGAATCTGTCCGGTACGTATGAACATGTAACACCATTAGATTGTTCAAGCGTACTTGAGACATTGTCGATCTCAGGTATGTCTTTATTCTTCTGAGCGCCGAGAATGACCTTTCACTGGTAGCATTAGTAGCAGGCATTACTAACAAAATCTTAAGCAACACAACGATCTCAGAGAACAGTGCTCGTTCTAGCACCGACTGTTCTGACACAAATTTCAAAACATCAGGTAGAGTAATAGCACTATTTTCTGATTTGTCAAAATGTGAACGTAGCAGCTGAAGCTGCACCTCTAACATGTCTCGGTTAATATCATTTCCATAGAAATCACAAACAAAACCAAGTTCTCTAGTGTATTCGGTCTTCAAAGGTTGTGCGGCCTTAATAAGTAAATCCTCCACGTTCTGAAGTACGCGATATCCCGGTTGGTCAAATCTCTCTTTAACACTGACCATGGCAAGATCGATTGCTTCAAAGTACTTAGGGCACAGAGTTCTAAAACCCGGCGTCTCAGGGGTACTCACCAAATGTTCGTTTCGGAAACGAAAATGATTTTGGTTGATTTGGTTCCGATGGAATTGTGTCAAACATCATGATATTTTACTATCTTAAACTATTCATATTAAGATACTTGTATGTGAACAGAGGTAAAATTTAAAGAATTGTGATGTTACGTGTGTGTTTGTGTTTGTTTACCCTCGCCACCGGAAAGAGAGTGATGTTACTATTTTGAATAAACATATATATACGGTGAACTGTCGGAAGCCACGTCGATGTCAATTAATGCCAATTAAGATAATTTCACACTTGACTTTGGGGGACACCGACATGTACCTGGTCAATAAACAGTGTACAGTTGTTCCTTCGCGTCATGTTTGTATATTACCGCGCAATTTGCATAAGGGGCTAGTTAAGTGTCAAATCGCTAATCAGCGATGCGTTTTTTCTTTCTTTTTTTTTTTTTCATTTTTTTTTTCATTTTTGGCCAGAATATTGGTCCGGCCAAGGCCGGACCGGCCGGACCATCGACGACGGCCTTGAATGTGTCCACCATATTCTGTTTCCAGGCATCTAACAAGTATTAGCGTAGCGAAAGGGGACGGAACTCCAGACTAGTGTCCACCAATGTAATGCACGCTGCGAAACGGCGGCTAATGCTGTTGAGGTAATCATTTAGTCGTGTTTAACCAATTCAATATAATTTAGTGGTGTTACAGATTTATAGTCAACCACAGAGGCGGTAAACGGAAAAAGGGATCGAGTAAGCGTACACTTTGCATATTTAGCCCCGCCTATAAATAAAGCACGAATTTCTTATAAAGCGTTATCATCATGATTAAAATAGACTATAAATCTGTGGAAATGATCAGTGTTACTGTATGTAAGTGCCATATGGCTTAATCCCCCTAATAAATATACACGAATGTCTTATAAAAATGGGAAAAAAAGGCTTTAAAGTGTTAAGTCGTGCAATAATGGTGCTTTCATTCATATGCCAAAATGATTTAATAAGCATATGAACCTATGTGAGGATATCAAGTTAAAGATGACTAAAGGATCATCTGAATATACATACAATGTATAGTTTTGTTCATATGAAAAATATATTAGGAATCACATTATTAAGAGGACCAAGTTTTACTATATAGTTTTCATTTGAACAGATACAACGCGATCACGTAAGATGACCCAGTACATATACTATACTTTTCATTGAACAGATATCAGCGGGTCAGCGTACTTGATGACCAGGGGATCATCTACTTGTACACATAAAATAATTTTCATTGACTGATATCATTGGTATCACAGAAGTGTTAGGTGACCAGGCGATCATCTAGATATACACGTCCTCTTTCTTATTATGGAAGGGATATTAAGGGATAACGTAAGATGACCAGGGGATCATCTTATTTTTACATATGCTATAGTTTTTATTGATCAGAAATAAGGGATCACGTAAGATGATCAGGGGATCGTCTAGATGTGCATTCAGTTATAAGATTCATTGAACAGATATCAGGGGATCACGTAAGATGACCAGGGGATCATTTAGATGTACATTATACTATAGTATTCAATTGAGCAGATATAAGGGGATCACATAAAGATGACCAGGGGGATCATCTACATGTACATATACTCTTTCTAATTATGGAACGGATATATGGAGATCACGAAAGATGACAAGGGAATCAACGCCATATTTACATTTACTATAGTATCCATTGAATAGAAATAAAGGGATCACGTAAAATGACAAGTTGGGATCGTCTATATGTACATATACTATAGCATTCTCTTGAACAGAAATAAAGTGATCACGTGAGATGAGCGCAGGGGATCATCTACATGTACATTTATTCTTTCTTATTATGGAACAGATATATGGGTATCATGTAAGCAGACAAGGGGATCATCTAGATGTGCACATACTATAATATTTCAATTGAACAGAAATAAAGGATACCGATCACGTTAGATGACAAGGGTATCATCTACATGTAAATTTATTCTTTCTTATTACGGAACAGATAATTATGGGTATCATGTAAGCTGACCAGGGTCATATCTATATGTACACATACTTTTAGTATTCATTGAACAGATATAAGGAGATAACGTAATATAACAAGTGGGGTCATCTAGAATTTACATAAACTATAGTTTTCATTCGAACAGATATCAGGTGATCACGTAAGTTGACCAGGGATCATCATTCTAATGTACATATACCGTACTTTTCATTGAACAGATATAAGGGGATCACGTTAAGATGACCAGTGAGGCCATCTATATGTAACATATACTATTTTTTGCATTGAACAGATATAAGTTGGATCATGTAAGATGACCAGGGCTTCATCTAATTTTACACTATGCTTATAGTTTTTATTGAACAGAAAATAATTAAGGGATCACGTAAGATGACCAGGGGATCGTCTAAAATGTGCATATAGTATAAGATTCATTTTGAACAGATATCAGGGGATCACGTAAGATGACGACCAGGGGATTATCTACATGTATCTACTCTTTCTTTAATGATGGAAAGGATATATGGATATCACGAAAAGATGACAAGGGGATCAACTATATTTACATTTACTATATGTATCCATTGAACAGAAATAAAAGGGATAACGAAAATGAGCAGGGGATCATCTACATGTACATTTATTCTTTTCTTATTATGGAACACATATATGGTTATCATGTAAGCTGTCAAGGGGATCATCTAAATGTACATGAACTCTTTCTTATTATGGAAGGAATATAAGGGGGATAACGTAAGATGACCAGGGGATCATCTAATTTTACATATGCTTTAGTTTCATTGAATAGAAATCAGGGATCTTGTAAGATGACAAGGGAATCATCTAGATGTGGCATATACTGTAAGAATCATTGACAGATATAAGGGATCACATAAGAGACCAGGGGATCATCTACATGACATATACTCTTTCTATTATGGAACGGATATATAGAAATCACGAAAGATGAACAACGGGTTAAACTATATCAAAATTTACTATATAGTATCCATTGATCAGAACTAAAAGGGATCACGTTAGAGGACCAGGGGTCATTTAGATGTTACTTATATGGCTTTCATATTTTGGAGCAGATAAATGGAGATAATTTTAGCTGACCAGGGGATCATTCAGATTTACATATACTCTATAGTATTCATTAAAAAGATCTAAGGAGATCACGTAAGATGACAAAGGGATCATCTATATTACATATACTATAGCATTCATTGAACAGAAATGAAAGGGATCACGTGAGAAGAGCAGGGATCATCTACATGTACATTTATTCTTTCTTTTATTATGGAACAGATATATGGGTATTATGTAAGCAGACCAGGGGATCATCTAGATGTGCACATACTATAATATTCATTGAACAGAAATAAAGGGATACGCGATCACGTTAGATGACAAGGGGGATCGTCTAGATATACATGTCTACTTTCTTATTATGGAAGGGATATAACCGGGGGAAACGTATGATGACCAGGGGATCATCTAATTTACATATTGCTATAGTTTTTATTGAACATAAAATAATTAAAGGGATCACGCTAAAGATGACCAGGGATCGTCTAGATGTGCATACAGTATAATATTCATTGAACAGATATCAGGGGGATCACTTAAGATGACCAGGGATCGTCTAGATGTGCATACACTATAAGATTCATTGAACATATATCAGGGGATCTCGTAAGATGACAAGGGGGTCATCTAGATGTGCATATTCTATAACATTCATTAAACAGATAAAGGGGGATCACATAAGATGACCAGAGGATCATCTAAATGTAACATATACTCTTTCTATTTATGGAACGGATATTATGGAGATCACGAAAGATGACAAGGTGATCAACTATATATTATATTTACTAAAGTATCCATTGAACAGAAATAAAGGGATCACGTTAGATGACCAGGGGTCATTTATGATGTACTGATATGCTTTCATATTTTAGAGCAGAATAAATGGGGATAATGTAAGCTTGACCAGGGGATCATTCAGATTTACAATATACTATAGTATTCATTGAACAGATCTAAGGAGATCACGTAAGATGACAAAGGGATCGTCTATATGTACATATACTATAGTTTTCATTGAACAGAAATAAAGGGATTTCACGTGAGATGAGCAGGGGATCATCTACATGTACATTTATTGTTTCTTATTATGGAACAGATATGTGAGTACCATGTAATCGGGACCAGGGGATCATTTAGATGTACACATTCTATAGTATTCATTGAACAGATAAAAGGAGATCACGTAAATATGGCAAGTGGGTCATCAAGATGTACATATACTCTTTCTAATCATTTTAAACGGATACATGGAGATCACGAAGATGACAGGGGATCAAAACTATATTTACATGTACTTAGTATCCCATTGAATAGAAAAAAAGGATCACGGAAGATGACAAGGGGGGTCATTTACCTGTACATATATTCTTTCATATGTTTTGGAACAAATATATGGGGATAATGGGAAAGCTGACCAGGGATCATCTAGATGTAACATTCTTAGTTATTCATTGAACAGATATAAGGTGATCACGTATGTGACAAGTGGATCATCTAGATTAACATATACTATAGTTTTTATTGGACAGATATCGGATGATCACGTAAGTTGACCAGGGAAACATCTTGATGTACATTGTACATATACTATAATATTCATTGAACATAAATAAGGGGATCACATAAGATGACCAGCGGATCATATAGATTAACACATAGTATAGTTTTCACTGAACAGAAAGAAATAAGGAGATCAGGTAAGTCGGGCCATCTATGTGTACATACTCTTTTTCATTATGGAACAGATATGAGGGCATCGCGTAAAAGGATCAGGTTATCATCTTGATGTGCATAAATTATACTATAGCTTTCATTGAACAGAAGTAAGGGGATCACGTAAGATAACCAGGTGATCATCTAGATGTATAGATACTATTTGCGTCCGTGGACAAGTGGTTAAGGTCGTTGACTTCAAACTACTTGCCCCTCACTGCTTTGGGTTCGAATCCCGACAGGGACTTTGGATTCTTTCATGTGATGAAGCTATCCAGCTTGCTTTACGGAACGTCGGTGGTTCTTATCAGGGTGCCCGTTCGTGCCCTGAAATAATGCACGGAAGGGTACCTGATGTCGCCCTCCACCAGTAAAGCTGGACGTCGCGATAATCTTACGTGATCCACTTATTTCTGCTCCAATGAAAACTATAGTACTTATATGTACATTTAAGATGATCCTTTCATCATTTTACGTGATCCCCTCATATATGTTCCTTAAATATAAAAGAGTATATGAACATCTACATGATCCCCTTTGTATTCTTACGTGATTCCTATATTTCTGTTCAATGAAAACTATAGTATTTGTACATCTACTCTAGATGATCCCCTGGTCATTTTACGTGATCCAATCATATCTGTCCAAAATGAAAAAGAAAATGTACATCTACATGATATCCATGTAATCTAACGTGATCCCCTTATTTCTGTTCAATGAAAAATATAGTAATGTACATCTAAATGATCCCCTGGTCATTTTACGTGATCCCCTTATTTCTGTACAATGAATACTATAGTATATGCACATCTAGACGATACCCTGGTCATTTTACGTGATCCCCTAACATATGTTCCATAATGAAAAAAGAGTTTATGTATATCTAGATAAATTCTAGTAATCTTAAGTGATTTCATTATTTCTGTTAAATGAAAACTATAGTTACTGTATATTTCCATCTAGATAATCCCCTGGTCATTTTATGTGATCTCTTTATATTTGTTCCATAATAAAAAAAGTGTCAATGTTCATCTAGATAATCCCTTGTAATGTTACGTGATCCCCTAATTTCTGTTCAATGAAAACTATAGTATATGTACATCTACATGATCCCCTTGTAATTTTACGCGATCCCCTCATATATGTTACATAATGAAAAAGAGTATGTACATCTATATGATCTTCTGGTCGTCTTACCTGATCCCCTTATTTCTTTCTCTTTAATGAAAACTAAAGTATGTGTTTATTTAGATGCACCGCTGGTCATCTTACGTGACCTTCTTATTTCTGTTTAATGAATACTAAAGTATATGTACATCAAGATGATACCTTTGTCATCTAACGTGATCCCTTTATTAAATGTATCTGTTCCATAATAAAAATAGAATATGTACATCTACATGATCCCCTTCTCATTTTACGCGATCCCCTCATATCTGTTCCAGAATGAAAAAGAGTATGTACACATAGATGATCCCCTGGTCGTCTTATCTGATCTCCTTATTTCTTTCTGTTTAATGAAAACTAAAGTATGTGTTCATCTATATGAACCGCTGGTCATCATAAGTGATCCCCTTATTTCTTTTCAATGAATATTATAGTATATGTACATCTAGATGATCCCCTTGTCACCTTACGTGATCCACTTATTTCTTTTCAATGAATACTTTAGTATATATACATCTAGATGATCCCCTTGTCACCTTACGTGATCCCCTTATTTCTGTTCAATGAATACTATAGTATATGTACATCTAGATGATACCATTGTCATCTTACGTGATCCTTTTATTTCTTTTCAATGAATACTATACAGGTAGTATATGTACATCTAGATGATACCATTGTCATCTTACGTGATCCCTTTATTTCTGTTCAATGAAGTCTATAGTATATGTACATCTACATGATCCCCTTGTCATTTTACGCGATACCCTCATAGCTGTTCCAAAATTAAAAAGAGTATGTACATCTATATTATCTCCTGGTAGTATATGTACATGTAGATGATCCCCTTGTCACCTTACGTGATCCCCTTATTTCTTTTCAATTAATACTATAGTATATGTACATCTAGATGATCCCCTTGTCACCTTACGTGATCCCCTTATTTCTGTTCAATGAATACCATAGTATATGTACATCTAGATGATACTATTGTCATCTTACGTGATCCCCTTATTTCTGTTCAATGAATACTATAGTATATGTACATCTAGATGATCCCCTTGTCACCTTACGTGATCCCCTTATTTCTGTTCAATGAATACTATAGTATATGTACATCTAGATGATCCCCTGTCACCTTACGTGATCCCCTTATTTCTTTTCAATGAATACTATAGTATATGTACATCTAGATGATACCATTGTCATCTTACGTGATCCCTTTATTTCTGTTCAATGAAGTCTATAGTATATGTACATCTACATGATCCCCTTGTCATTTTTACGCGATCCCCTCATATATGTTCGATAATGAAAAAAGAGTATGTACATCTATATGATCTCCTGGTAGTATATGTACATGTAGATGATCCCCTTGTCACCTTATAGATCCCCTTATTTCTTTTCAATGAATACTATAGTATATGTACATCTAGATGATCCCCTTGTCACCTTACGTGAGTGATCCCCTTATTTCTGTTCAATGAATACTATAGTATATGTACATGTAGATGATACCATTGTCATCTTACGTGATCCCTTTATTTCTTTTCAAGGAATACTATAGTATATGTACATCTAGATTATACCATTGTCATCTTACGTGATCCCTTTATTTCTGTTCAATGAAGTCTATAGTATATGTACATCTACATGATCCCCTTGTCATTTTACGCGATCCCCTCATATATGTTCCATAATGAAAAAGAGTATGTACATCTATATGATCTCCTGGTAGTATATGTACATGTAGATGATCCCCTTGTCACCTTACGTGATCCCCTTATTTCTGTTCAATGAATACTATAGTATATATACATCTAGATGATCCCCTTCTCACCTTACGTGATCCCCTTATTTCTGTTCAATGAATACTATAGTATATGTACATCTAGATGATACCATTGTCATCTTACGTGACCTTTATTTCTTTTCAATGAATACTATAGTATATGTACATCTAGATGATACCATTGTCATCTTATGTGATCCCTTTATTTCTGTTCAATGAAGTCTATAGTATATGTACATCTACATGATCCCCTTGTCATTTTACGTAATACCCTCATAGCTGTTCCATAATGAAAAAGAGTATGTACATCTATATGATCTCCTGGTCATTGTAAGTGAGCCCCTTATTTCTTTCTGTTCAATTAAAACTATATTAAATGTACATCTACATGATCCCCTTGTCATCTACGTGATCCCCTTATCATCTTACGTGATACCTTTATTTATTTTCAATGAATACTATAGTATATGTACATCTAGATATTCCCCTTGTATTCTTACATGATCTCCTTACATCTGTTCCATAATAAAAAAATAGTTTATGTACATATAGATGATCCCCTTGTCATTTATTTGATCCCCTCATATATGTTCCAGCATGAAAAAGAGTATATACATCTAAATGTCACCTGGTCATCTTACGTGATCCCTTTATTTCTGTTCAATGAAAACTATAGTATATGTACATCTAGATGATCCCTTGGTCTTTTTATTTGATCCCCTTACATCTGATATGTAATGAAAAAAAGTTTATGTACATCCAGATGATCTTGTAATCTTACGTGATCCCCTTATTTCTGTTCCATGAAAACTATAGTATATGTACATGTAGATAATCCCCTGGGCATCTTACGAGTTACCCTTATATCTGTTCCATAATAAAAATGTTTATATGTATTTCCCTCACATATGTTCTTTTAGAACTACAGTGTTTATACACCTTAAAGACCAGATGACCCTTATTCATATATATTCCATCACTACTAATGTATATTTACATCTAGATGATTCCCTGCTCATCTTACATTAACCTCTCATGCATCTTCTATAAAAACTAGTATATATGTTCATGCAGATGATCTCTTGGTCCTCTATAATGTGATTATTCATATATCTTTAATGAACATAAGTATACATTGTGTACAAGTGCATTCAGATGATCCTATAATAATCTTACTTGATATCCTAACATAGGTTCATCTGCTGATTAAATTATTAGGCATATGAATGAAAAACCATTATTCTACAGTTGTATGTCCTGAAGTTTAAAGCCTGTTTCCATTTTCTAGACATATGTATAAATTTATTAGGAGGATTAAGCATATGCACTTACATACAGTAACACTGATAATTTCCACTGATTTATAGTCTATTTTAATCATGATGATAACGCTTTATAAGAAATTCGTGCTTTATTTATAGGCGGGCCTAATTATGCAAAGTGTACTCTTACTCGGTCCCTTTTACCGTTTACCCCACAGAGGCAGGCACGTTTTAAGATGGAGACAGCGAAAAGAATGGTACGTTTATGGTCATGATATTTTGAAGCGTCCAATAATATTTATAGGTGTTGATGTATTAAGCACAATCACTTAATGAGTTATCATTTGACTCATTTAATTTCTAAGTTTAAAAATATAACCTATTTGTACCCTAATCATTTCGTACCTCTTATTTTTCATATTTATTTATTTTGAAAGTTGTGTATTCATTTTTTTCATGAAGTGGAAAAATTAAGGTCACGTTGGAATAAATATTTCTTAGTATTATTTCTTGTGTACATAGATTACAGTATTGATATACTGTACTGTACAGTACTAGTTCAGGCTTCCATAACTTAGTCGCTTTTATTTTGACGTTGCAACAGTACAGGTCTAGCAGTAATATAAAACCTGTTCGCTGAAGTATCTTTAGCTAGTACAGTTCATGTACTGTATTTATTTTTTATAATTAAATTATAATTTTATTATTGAATAGTATTCATAAAAATTAAAATACATATTGACAATTTTTACCTGAAATACTGAGATAAGTCTACCTTATAAAATATTTATAGGTTATCATCATTATTTGCTCAACTTTTTGAATAAAGAAAGAGCCTATTGTCATGAACCTCTGTTAATGACACCATTTCAGAAAGGCAGATAATCTTTATTTTTGCAGTTATGCCCCTTTTTTACTTCTTTTTCTACTAATGTCAATTTCTCGAAAACTGGCCAAGTCAATGGCTCTTAACTTGGAATACTTGCTTAATCTTTAAATTGGAATGCATTTCTAAAGGGCAGGTACCTTTAATAATTTTTTCTCTCAGTTATTTGACTTTTTTTTGTTAAGGTAAATTTTTTAAATATCAAAGATATTTACTTTAAACTTGGAGATTTGTCACTATAATTTTCCTAATTTTTAAAAAAAGTTGAAAACTTTTAGGGATCCCCAAAGGGTTTTAGTTTCCCAAATTATGCCCGACCCTTTTTTTTAACCCCTGACATTGGGTGGGCCCAAAAGGGGGAAACCAAATTTCAAACATATAGTCTAAAAACTAAATATGTCAACAGTTTTGGGAAATTTTCATTTATAAATTAAAACAAAAAAGATGTGTAAAGGGGTGATTTGCTCAATGGGTTGAGGGGCAAAATGGCATTTTAAAGGTCCCCTAGTTTTAAATCTTTGGGCAAACTAAAACATTTTCTCCGTAATTCCAAAAAAGTAAAATGTTTCACATTTTTTAAATTTTTTTAATTACCATAAACCATACCACCCCAAAAATTTGGAAAAACTTTTGCTTTAAAAGTCATTGTCATGGGCGATGTCCCCGTTTGATTTTGGGCATTGGGTTTACATTTCAAGGTTTGGGAGTGACGTTTCCCTTTTCTAGTGATCAATAGCTTAAAGAGTACACAGCATAAGTGATGGAACATTATCAGGACATTGCTCATGCCCAATAAGAGACCTCAGTATATTTGAATTCATTAAGTTCAAGGTCACAATTATGAATGAAATGCTTAAGTATCAAGAATAAGACTTTTTTCCAGTTATTTGTTTATGAAATTTTTAATAGTTATTATCATACATGCCATAATTTTTTAGACTCATTTCCGGGACACTTTTTCATTTGGAGGTTGGGGCATTGATCAGCAAACATGTTTTTTTTTAATTTACATAGTGACATACAACCTATGTTACCAGTATATACAACTTGCAAATTTAATCACACCAATAAACAAAAGACAGAATGTCAATAATTATTAACAGTTTTTTCTATCTATTTTAATTATTTAGCATCGTTAATTCAATCAATCACAGAATAAAAATAAAGCTATGTTAAGTAATGACAATTAGCCCATGTTGTTTATCTGAGACATTCGCTGAATCTTGTAGATTTCATCACCTCAAATTTAGCGGTAATTTTCACGCGTGATTAGGGATAATCGTTCATTATTAGCTTTCTAGACTAGTTTATAAAAACTTGACAATAAAGTTATATAAAAATGTAAAATTTCTTGCTTCAAAGAAGATTATTTTAGATTTTTTTTTACCGGGACATAAATCATCTCCGGGACAGACACCTGATTTTCGTGACTGTCCCGGACATCTGGGACGTTATGGCATTATGGTTATTATACAGTGTATATATTCTATATTGCTTATTAGTCCCCTACCGGTTTACCGGAGGGGACTTTAGGTTTACCCTCTGTCCGTCCATCCGTCCGTCTGTCAGTCTGTCAGTCCGTCCGTCCACAAAACTGGATCCCGCGATAACTTGAAAAGTACTGAAAATATTTTTATGAAACTTGGTATATGGATAGATGGCAGTATGGAGATTTATGCACGTCTTTTTTCTTTTCTTCCTATGTGAAAATTCTGGTTGCTATGGCAACAAATAGGCTAAAAATATGGCAAATTTTTACACATAAACTGGATCCAGTGATAACGCAAAAAGTACTGGAAATATTTTTATGAAACTTGACATATGGGTAGATGGCAGTCTTGAGATTATGCACGTCTTTTTCTTTTCTTCCTATGTTAAAAATTCTGGTTGCTATGGCAACACATAGACTGAAAATATGGCAAATTTTACACATAAAACTGAATCCAGTGATAACTCAAAAAAGTACTGGAAATATTTTTATGAAACTTGACATATGGGTAGATAGCAGTGTTGAGATTATGCATGTCTTATCTGTTCTTCCTATTTTGAAAAAATATCAGTTGCCTTGGCAACAAATAGGCTTAAAACATGGCAAATATAACAATATTTGTGATTAGTCAAAAAGAGCTGAAAATTTTTATGAAATTGCATTCTTTAATTCAAGCGTTATCTCCTCTTTAAGAATTCTGCTTTTAAAATGTTTATATTTTGGTAAACAGGGATGTTTCAAATATTAACTTTAGAGTGTCCTTCAGTCCGGTCTGTCTGTCTGTTCATAAAAACTGTTTCCTGTTTGATCACTTTTAAAGAACTTTTCCAACAAGTTTACTTAAAATAGAGAAAAATTGAAACATAAGTGAATGGCCAATGGCCCTTCAGAATGTTGATGGGGTTCTAACCGGTAGGGGGACTTATGGATTGCTTGCAATACTATGATAATTGCTTGTTTATATAACTTTTGACTTATAAAAATATGCATATATACACATGTAAATATACCTCTGTGACCACAAATGAAGTGGGGGCATAAGTATCCTATTGACACATTTCTAGATTTAATTTGTTTTTACAGGAAGAATTGTGCCAGCTTCTTCTTAAAGAAGATGCCCCAGTTACAGAATGGTTTAAATTACTCAATGAAACTCTGCAGGATACAGACCCACTTATAACCCAAGGTAATTATGATAAAGAAATTCTTCTTTTCCAGGTGATTGATATTTCCAAACAAAAATTTGGTCTTTAAGTTAATTTTTTCATTACAAGATCAGAATCTGTTGGAAATGTACAACATATTAACTAGTTATGACATAACTAGTTTTGATAAATAGATTTTTTGCTTTTAGTTAATTTCTTTCTCTGCAAAAGCTGGCTTATCCAATTATATGTCAATAAAATGATCAAGAACTGACCACCTCCGTGGTTAAGGGGTTAGAGTCGATGACTTCTAATCCAGTTACCTCTCTGGCGTGGATTCGATCCCCGGGAGATGCTTTGGTAGTTTAGCACGGAGGAAGGTAGTCTAGTACTGGTGTAACTCTCCAGGAATGATGGTAAGAAAACTACCCGCCTATGTGACTGAAATACTGTTGGGAAAAGGCGTAAAATGAAACAAACAAACAAAAAAACATTGCATCCAACTATTTGACTCGACAAAATTGTGCATTTTTTTTTAGTCTCTTTTAAACAAGATATTTGACAAAAGAACATGATGAATAAAGTCATGTTTAATCCCATTATTAAAAACAATTATTCCACTTTCTAATGCTCCAAATTTTAGGATGAAACAGGCATCAATTGTTTACTATACATTAAGAGGAATTCTTCATCATGTCTGTAATTTCTTCAAATGTTCATTTATTAATTAGTCTCATTTCCACATCAAGTAATATAAAACTTAGCAAGAACATAAGGGGGGGCAACTCTTCAGCTCATACTCCAGCATTTTACTTTCTATACATTGCAGATGTGTTTATATGGACCCCGGGCATATAGTAATTGAACTGTCTGTCCGTCCATCCATCTGTCCGTACGAGGTTAACCTAGAACGGCAAGTTGGATTTTTCTTAAGTTCTACCTGTACCAATGGCTTCATAATTTACACACTTACTAATCCATACAAAGTATATGATCTGGGCAAGTTGGATTTTTCTTAAGTTCTACCTGTACCAATGGCTTCATAATTTACACACTTACTAATCCATACAAAGTATATGATCTGGGCAAGTTACATAACTATGGCTTCCATTTGCACCAAGTTATGACCCTTTTCAGCACTTAGAAAATGTATAATGGTTAACCTAAACCTGCAAGTTGGAAATATCTTATGTTCTATCTGAACTAATGGCTTAATAATTTTCACACTTACTTATCAATACAATGTACATGATATTGCCAAGTTATATAAATGTGCCATCCATTTTCCCAGTAATTTCCCTTTTTATCATTTTGAAAATAGGGCCTTGTGTGGTTTACCTATTCCGCCAAGTTGGATTTATCAAAAAATTTCACCTAATTACTTAATTTATTTAATGATATCTTTCATATTTGGTAGGTGGATACCTTTGTTTGTTTGTTTCATTTTACGCCTTTTTCCAACAGTATTTCTGTCATATAGGCGGGTAGTTTCCTAACCATCGTTCCTGGAGAGTTACACCAGTACTAGACTACCTTCCTCCGCGCTAAACTACCAAAGCATCTCCCGGGGATCGAACCCACGCCAGAGAGGTAACTGGATTAGAAGTGATCGACTCTAACCCCTCGACTACGGAGTGGATACCTTTAACGGTCCTCTAAATTTTAGTTGCGTTAGGCATCTCTGGTCAAGGTCACTTGTTTAAAAAATTAAATCTAAACATTTCTGCTCATACAGCCTTTATTTTTAAGTTAATGTCTTTCATGTTTATAATAGTCATATCAAGGGAGGTCCTGTTCCTTTTCCTTTAGTAAGGGGTCATTTGTGTCATGGTCACCAATGTCAAAAATAGATTTTTTTACACTTTTACAGGTGTATTAACCTTATTCTATCGACAGATGTCTTGTATATTTTGTAGGAACATAAATTTGAGGTATTCTCATTTGGATGGAGGTAGGGGTCAGTTGGGTCAAGGTCACCAGTGCTAAAAATAGATTTTTACACTTTTGCTCATACAGCCTTTGTTTATTGACAGATTTGTATTATAATTGGTAGGAAGATAACTTACATGGTATTCTTCCTTTGGATGGAGTTAGGGGTCAGTTGGGTTAAGGTCAACAGTGCTAAAAATAGATTTTTACACTTTTGCCCATACAGCCTTTATATATTGACAGATTTATTTCATATCTGGTTGGAAAATAAGTTGCATGATATTCTTCCTTTGGATGGAGTTAGTTGTCAGCTGGGTCAAGGTCACCAGTGGTAAAAATAGATTTTTTACACTTTTGCCCATACAGCCTTTATTTTAAATATTGTTACTGACAAGAATCTGAGCCGGGGGCATTTGTGTTTAACAAACAGGTTCTTGTTTTACATATGTTTTTGGTCACATTTACAAGTTTACAAAGTATATTGTCCTATTTTTAACATAATTTTATATCACATACATTGGCTTATATCATTGACAGAATTTAGTGAGGAGCAGGATAGACAAAGTGTTAGAATGCCATTACTTCCACAACTACTCTACTTGATTAGAGGGTACCTGCTGAACCATAGATGGTCTGAAGCCTTGCAGATATTAGAGAACATTGTTCAGATACCTTTAGGCTCATCAAATACTGTGTGGAAGGTTTGTGTAGTGTTGTTTTGCAGTTCTGATACTCTCCTCTCTTATTTACACCTCTTTTGCCTTGTTTAGGTATCTGGTACAAACCAATCAGTGAGATAAAGTCACAAAAATATGTATTTTTCCTCATTCAAAGTTTGAAATTATATCTTATTTGGATTAGTGGTTAAAAGCATCATTCCACTGGGTTATTGTTATGTTTTTAGAAAAGATTGACCTTGACCTTTAAATGACCTTGACTGTCAAAATAGAAAACTTAAGTGTCCAAAATAATATGATTGAAGTAAGTCTAATGCACTTACTTTCAATATAAGTTGCATATAATGTGTCAAAATTTACAAAAACTGTAAAATGTTGATAAAAATTGAAAAGACAGTTATCTTTTTACATAAAGCGTACAAACTGTTACATGAATAATTAGGATTCATACATTTTTATAAATTTTTGAATGTTTTTTTGTTTGTTTATGTTTGATTGTAAGAAAATAAGCGTTTATTTTGACAGCTTTACAACTTATACATTATGCAATGACACATTGTTTACTTAAGAAGATAATGTTGTTTTTTTTAATTCAGGTAGGCACAGAATTGATGAGTATGGAGGGTGATGAAAACAGAGATTTGATCCAGCATTTGTTCAGGTAAAACTGTTTAGAGTATACTCATAATGGTACCCATTTCATAGCCGAGCTTTATGTATTAATTTTCAACAAAACAAAATTAGTTTTAAAAGAAGATGCTTAAAGCAGAACACATTCAGATTAGGGTTCATTTAAATAAAAAAATACAGGTTGTAATGGTGGTTAATAGTGTTGTACATAAATGTAGGAAATTTCCTACACTATGAATATACTTTCATGAGTTTGATGGGTACCAGTAAGTAAAGGAAGGTAGGTAGGTGAAGGTACTGAGGCAGGCAGGAACGCACCAAGTTGTATCAAAAATTGAATACATTTAATATATCACAGGAATTGTAAAATGAAAATTGAAATGAGCCGATCCATGACAAAACAAACGTAATGCGTTTGTGACCAGCATGGATCTAGACCAGCCTGCGCATCCACGCAGTCTGATCAGGATCCATACTGTTCGCTTACAAACCCTATTACAATTAGAGAAACTGATAGCGAACAGCATGGATATTGATGACTGCGCGGATGCGCAGGCTGATGTGGATCCATGCTGGTCGCAAATACATTTCAAATTGTGTATATGATGCTCCCAAATGAAAAAGAAATTCAACAATAAAAATGCAAGCACATTTTCTTTCAATGGATACATATATAAAGAAAAAGTTCTTATGTCAACAATCGTTTTAACAGATCATTTTGCATTATTATTTTTAGGGGACATGAATGGATAGTGAAAATAATCGACACCTTAAAAAAGAAAAATCAGCTAATTAAGAGACAAAAAAATCAACTGTTTAAGACATAAGTCAAGATTTTTAGTTTGAGAATAAGCATTAGGATGTAGCCATTTCGGCAGTTGATCTTGTTAATTTGTCGAGTCTGAAACTGTGACATCAGTAACCAATTTCTTTTTGTAGTGTGCAAAAATATACAACAAATTTTAATAAATTGAGTGTTTTGTTTATTTTTATTTGAATATATATTTATTTGTATTCCACAGAAAGATAAGAGGGGTAAGTGAGATGAATGAAAAAGAAGTGTTGATGGAATATGTAGCATATTTACTGCATATAGGGGATGATGAGGAAGCTTGTACTGTAATGCAGGTATATTCTTTCTTAGCCTATTACAGATTGTAATTCCTTATGATTTTTGTTTTCTTTCTATTAAGCAGTCCGGGAAAAAAAGAAGATGTATATCTAATACAATAAACAACTGTCAAAGTGAATTGTCATATGTTTGTAATAGTCCACTCCGCCTTATATTGTGATATACCTTTAAATATACTCACTATTTTAATGTACCACAAAGGGGTCAGTACGTTATCAAAAAACTAACGGTGATCTTATAAATGTATTGTTCTGTGGCAAGGAGCATTAAGCTTATTTCCTATTTACCTTGCTGTCAAAAAAATTTACTTCTTGAGTGTCACTTAAAAACAAAACTACCATGATGCCTACAGCATTCCCAGACAGAATGTTACCTCTGTAGTCCGGTTTCCTCCCATTATATGCAAATTTATTCCTACCAAGCAATTTCAAGACATTTTTCCCTCCCCAATACTACAGTTCTTTATATCATCAAATGATGCTACATGTACCATTCGCTTTTAGGTATGAGACCACTAAATGATGAAAGAGTTAAAGCACCAACAGTCTGTTGTTACTAAACATATAATTTCCAAACATCTAGAGTGCCGGTTGCACATATAATAATTACAAAATGTAATTGATGAAAATACTAATTGATTAAAGGGCACTTTGTTATAAAAACTGAAAACTGTTTAAAAAAAAAAAAAAGGATTTTAACATAATCAACATGATTTATTTACAGGAAGTTCGTAAACGACATGGGCTAAAGAAAATTACAAGTGAAGAAAGAGAGAAGTATACTGATCATATGCACAAAGCTTATCTTGGATTACTTTGGTATTTGGAGTGGAAAAAATACTTAAAATTACATGAGGAGACTGAGGCTAAATGTGATGGATCAAAACAAAGTTAGACATATTTTTGCATTCAATATTGATAATACGAAATTTAAGTTTTGAATTTTAATCCGCTTTGAATTTCAAATGTAAAATACAATAATATCTGTAAAACATTATCTCTTATTGAAAAAAAGCAAAAGATCTTACAAATAATTCAGACTGATAATGATTTAATACTGATTATATGTGACACGCCAAGTATGTTTAAGTCAGTGAGTAACTCATGCTTCTGCTGCTAATACTACTAGCGGTAAAGCAATTTTCACAGGCTGCAGTCTACGTTATTTCTCCAACAAAAGGAAATATTTAGTGTACAATTGTATTCAATATATGCCAAAAGGCCCCTCTGACCTTAGAGCAAATGAAATTTCTTGGGGTTCATGCCCGAACCCACCCTTGAAGTGGACCAATCTATGCCTCTAGCTTCTAATGTTATTAATAATGTAAATGCTAAGAGTAATTGTATCTTAAATATCTAGTGTAACAAGTTGAATAATAGATATTTAAGCCGCGTCATGACAAAACCAACATAATGGGTTTGCGACCAGCATGGATCAAGACTAGCCTGCGCATCCACGCAGTCTAATCAGGATCCTTGCTGTTCACTTACAAACCCTATAACAAGTAGAGAAACTGATAGCGAACAGCATGGATCCTGATCAGACTGCATGGATGGGCTGGCTGGTCTGGATCCATGCTGGTTGCAAACCTACTATGTTGGTTTTGTCATGACACGGCTCATTTGGTACATTGTTACTTCAGGTGATAATCTAAGCCAGCATATGATGAATTCACAGAAACAGTCAATGGCCATACAGATGGAGAACTTTTGTGAGAAGGCAAAACAATGTTTCAATGAGCTGAAGGAGTATCCAGGAATCTGGGATATATTTATAACCAAACATGCAGAAGTACTTTGTTGTTGATATGTTTTTATGCCACCGCAGCATCTGCGATGCTGTGGCATATAGCGATTCACCTGTGTGTTTGTGTGTGTTCTATAGAAATATAGTGAACTTAAAAAATCTTCTTGTGAAAAACCACTAGTCCAATTTCAACCAAACTCGGCAGGATTGATCCTTGGGTGAAAGGCTTCCAAAGTTGTTCAAAGAATTTCATTCCATACAGAAATCTGGTTGCCATGGCAACCAAAAGGAATTATAAGAATAAATTTAAAAAATCTTCTTGTAAAGACCCAAAAGGCCTAGAGCTTAGATATTTTGCACAAGGCATTGTCTGGTAGACCTCTACCAAGATTGTTCAAATTACAGCCCTGGGGTCAAAATCAGCCCCGCCCCGGGGGTCATTGATTTTCACTATATGTACATATAGCAAAACCTTAAAATACCTTCTTGTAAAGACCCAAAAGGCCTAGAGCTTAGATATTTTGCATAACGCATTGTCTGGTAGACCCTTACCAAGATTGTTCAAATTATAGCCCTGGGGTCAAAATCGGCCCCACCTTGGGGGTCATTGATTTTCACTATATGTACATATAGTAAAAACTTAAAATACCTTCTTGTAAAGACCCAAAAGGCCTAGAGCTTAGATATTTTGCATAAGGCATTGTCTGGTAGACCTCTACCCAGATTATTCAAATTATAGCCCTGGGATCAGAATCGGCCCCGCCCCGGGGGTCATTGGTTTTCCTTATATGTATAGAGTAAAAACTTATACATGTAGTAAAAACTTGAAAAAAATTTCTTCTAGTAATTGACAAATGCTAAAGGTTAGATATTTTGCATGAAACATTATGTAGTGAACTTCTAGCAAGATTGTTTAAATTATAGCCCTGGGGTCAAAATTGCCTTTGCCCCGGGGGTCATTGATTTTCCCTATATGCATATAGTAAAAACTTAAAAATCTTCTTTTAAAGAACTCAAAGAGCTAGAGCTAAGATATTTAGCATCAAACATGTTCTAATAGATGTCTACCATATAGTAAAAAAATCAAAACATCTTATTGTATGAAGGTACAAGGCTTAGTGTTGTATTAATGCGGTGGCATAGCATTTTTCTCAAATGCAATCTTGTTTATTTTCTGTAGAACAATCAGGTGATGCTTAATGCAAGGCACTTTATATCTCAGAAATGATTTTTTTTACATAGGGAGCATTTAGGAAGAGTGACTTTGAAGATTTCGGTTATTGTTATTTATTATTCCTCTCATGAACTTTTTACTATATAGCCTATTGTGATGTCATATGGTGTTATTTCAATCTATCTTCCTGAAAATGATTATCACCCAGTCAACAATTATTTGGAAAATTTCCTAGGGGCATGTAATCAATATACACTTAAGAAAGCAAAATGTTCTAGTTCTCTCCCCTGGCCACAGTAAATAAGGAATGTCTCTCGGAGTTAAACACATAGCGATTTAAATAACATTGAAATGTTGGTAATTAAGGGACATTTTCTAGGAACTATGTGGTAGATAGTGTCGATGTTATGTAGCTAGATAAGGTCTGTAATAAGAAAATAAAAAAATTCAAGTTGTCAGATTGAAAACCATTCTCAATAGAATAGTTCTTGTTGTTTTCAGTTACTTACTTGGCAAAATAAGGAGATGGATGCATTTGCGGTTTTGAAGAACTATTGTGAGAAAAATCCTGGCAACTTGAATGCCCACAAATACCTGTACATCTATTGTAAGGAGCACTTCCCTGAACATGAGGACAAGATTTCAAGCCTTCAAGTAAGACATGACCTTTATTTCTATAGAAACGAGGTGAAACTAAACTTTAATTTAAAAAAAAATGACATATCTTCATGGCTTGTATAAGTTTGGTAGTTACAATGTATCCTGTAATAGGGATAAAGAAAAAACATTACTATTGTCTTTAATTGGTTACTGCTGTTAAAATTGAAATATGTTGAGAGTTTGGCAGTAATTTAAGGAAAAACAAGTTAATACACTTACAACATGCAGAAATAATTATTTATATAAATAATTCCCCGACAGTATGCAGCTGTGAATACCACTCTCAACAGATACTATATTTAGTAGGAGGAATATTAAGTCATCTGGTTAGTGTGTACCAGCACTTGACATGGCACATGTTTTTTAGCTCCACTTTGCGAACCAAAAAGGTGGAGGCATTGTAATGACCCTCTCATCAGTGTGGGGTTAGTTAACTTTTTAGGTTAAGTTTTCGTTTATGGTTTGTTAACTTCAGTATCAACAAAAATATAACATTGAAACTTCATATGTTGATGCAACATGATGACTTATACCTGTCACATTTATTTTAAGGTCAAAATAGCGAGAAATAAAACAATAAAGAACATTCAGCAAGGCAAAATTGAAAATGCTGCAGGCTCAGTTTCATTAAGCCTGTCCATGGATAGTACTGGAAATTGTTTAAGGATAATTACTCAAAAGCTATCAAATCACTATTAAAACTGGAACGCATTTCTTAAGGGCAGATGCTTTTGAAGGTCATTTTTGCCTTATAATCTCCCTTTAATATTTTTGTAATTTTCTCAAAAATCTTAACATATTTTTCTTTATTCATTTCAAACTTACTGTGAAGGTCAGACAATTCTGATAAGCAGTTTTTCAGAATTATGCCCAATTTGATATTTGGGTACAAAATTAAGTAATCAGTCTTAAGTAGCTGCAAGCCAATATATTGTTAATATACAACTGTAATATTAACACTGAGGAACCCAACTAAACTAAACAAGTAAATAAGACTAGTATTAATCCAAAGCAGACGGAGAAAAACAAACAAACAAATACTATGTTCATACGGACACTTATCAACAGCATTAATTCATGTACAAAAATACATCTATGCATAGCAACAGTAGTGAGAAATAACCTGCTGAATTTCTTATATAGACTTGCCTGGCTTCCATTTTTGGAAGTGACTATTTTCAATTTTAGGGATATCAGAAGTTGGTCGGTCAACAGTATAAAGCCCGGTCAGTAAAAAAAGCAATAATGAATCATAAAATGATACAGAAAGGATATATTTATAAAATGTGTACTTTGTTATGCTTCATCCTTTTCTTAAAATTACATTCTGAGAAATACAAATTTGTATATTGGATGAATATTAATATACTGATTCTGTTTACATTCATGTTTTCCACCAGTGGAGAGTTTCTGAAGTTTGCCTGTAATACATTTGTAACATTTCATATTTATCCCACAACACTTTGTTCATATTCAAAGTTTATTTTGTGGTGTTTTGGATGTGTTTCCGAGCACTTTATACTTAATAGTTACACAAAACAAAACTTTTTTTACTTTACTCTTTTTACAAAACTTTTTTTTGGATGTTGCTGAGAATGAGTGTGCCTTTATTGTTGCTGAGAATGAGTGTGCCTTTAATGGAAGGAACATGAGTAAAAACTTCAAAACATCAGAAAGATACATTTTATTAATATTTTTACAGAGAGTGGTAAAGCATGTAAGTACGCATACAAGCATTCAAGTAAATAGATAAAATATTGTTTATGACAAAGATATCATATGATAAGCGTAAAGTTACGTTGATTCACATTATGAATGAAAGTGATAAAACTATAGATTTACAATGATTTATAACAAGAAAACTATGCATGTACAATGATAAATGAAATATACAGAATATTATGTTATAGTAGCTTTCTAAAGATTTGTATTTTGCTACTAGCAAAGTTGAAAAATTGATATCTCGCGAGACCGAAGGCTGGTAGCAAAATACATGGCCTCAGAAAGCTGCTACAACATAATTATCCTTTCATCATATACCTATACATTTTAAGACAAAACAAGTTTCAAAATTCTTAACTTCTATTAGTTATTTCAGAAACTGAAATATAGCTGTCAATAAATCGAATTCACAAATGGCAGAAGAATACGTAATTTTGCATTCAATAATTTTGGTTCTCATTTTTTTCAAATGCTACGTAATACACAACTAAGATGGGAACTAAAATAGTCTGGCACTTCCATATATGGTATTGTATTTGTCTCTATCATAATTTGAATTTTTTTATTCGTTGAAGCGTGTTCACGCTACAAGATTTGCGTGTATTTTAGGGAGAACATTTATAAAATAGGTATATTATAAAAGTTATTATCCTTTATGAAAAAAATAAGCTATAACTTTAAATTAAGCTTTGCTAAATGAAATAGTTACAACTGTAGATTTACAATTATTTATACTATATTGTAAAAATATTTTGATTTCAGGCTATTGCCAAGTTATCTCCCTCTGATAGTTTGGTGCTAGATCTCTGCACTCATCTTATTGAAGGTAGTTTTGATTTATTTAACTTTTCAGTCTTTTGTGTAGTTAGTTTCATATTAAGAGGTGTGCCAGTGACTTTCACCAAAAGTTAGTAATGTTACACTGTGTCTATCTAGAATTTTTGATATTGGTATCAATCTTTTATATAGTTTATTTGATATTTTCTGTTTTAATATGTGTATATGATTTTAAGTTTCAGAGTGTTTACTTAAAAAGTTATACACATTATACAGAGATTAACTGTTCCAAAGTTTCTCTTTTATACTTGTTTCAGATATAAATGTTTTAATGTTAATTATCATTCATACATTTCACACACAAAGATTAAAAGTTTCACTTAAATACTTGTTTTATATATGGATGTTCGAATATTGGTGTACATCCTCCCTACATGTACTTTTCACACACAAAGGGTAGTTTCCTGTTACATGAATCATCATTCCATTTGCCTTGTTGATTTACCAGTGTCATCATGCAGTCTTCATCACCAGATTTGTCTGGTTGCCCTGGTAACCAGTTGCTGAAGTGTAAGTTGTTGTGACTTGAACTCCATTTGAAAACTCCCTCATGCTGTAGGTCAGTAGCTCCTACCCAGAATCCAGCCCAATTACTAGTACCCCAGTAATGATAAGATTTAGCTTTTGATAACAAAAAGGTTACTTCATCAATGTCACTGTATTCCACAAGTTTTGCTTCATTTTTCTGACACCATTTCTGAGCTTGGAACCAATCAATTGCCTCTTTCTTCAATATGTAACAGGACTTCATATAAGGGAACCAGCCAGGTGGACATTGATTTAGTTTTCTGATCTTGTTTTCCAATGTCTCATATTTTTCCAACAAGCTGTCATACTTCTGTGTTAAACTGTCCAGTTTTTTCATAGATTTGTTTGATGTTTCTCGGTAGTACTTCAGATTTGTAGCTAGAGCATTACTTAAAATGTTTATTAGATTAGTATTCATTACTAGTCTTGTCCAAATATCTTCATCATTTTCCTTGAGGTATGACATCTGAGACTGAATGTTGTCAGTATGATTCTCAACTGATTGAAGCCTTATTTCCAAGCTTCTATTCCACACAGGAGATGTAGAAATCACTGTTATACACAGAAAAACAGTGGTGATCATAAGTTTAATCCCCATGTTTATTTTATTCTTTCAATGGTAAATAGAAAATTATTGTCCTTATGAAAACAAAACTTGTTATGAGACAAGACTCATATAGGTAGCTAACAAAATACAGGAAGATTTTGAAGATTTAAGCGATTCTTTTGTTTTGTTTTTCTCTTTGTTATTTTTAAAAAAGCCCATTATTCAAACTTTTTTAAAAGTATAAACATGAGACTTGGTCTTTGTTATTTTAAATATAGCCAATTATTCAAATTGCTTAAAGTATACTGTGCTCCTCTTAGTTCACGGTACTTAATGCTTTGAAACCAGGAAGAAAACAAAAAATGAAACTAATGGTGCAAATATTGTCATAAGCTATAACATAAAGGTATTTTCCATTGTATGACACAAGGAAACAACAATATATTCAGTCGAAATCAATTTTAATGGACCAAACGTAGACCATATGTCGGCCATTTTGAAAACAGTATGTCATCATTTAAATCGCGTTAATGGTGTTACATTTCAGTTAAAATTTCTACAATCATGTTATTTTGCTTGATTTTAAATATTAAAATTATCCTTACTTTGTAACTCAAAATTTATTTTGTCAACAAACAAAAACATTTAGAAAATGATGATTGTTTCAGACATATCAGAAATTTAATGGACTATTATTGCTTTTTGCAGAAATTTGTAAAATGTTGTTCTTTTTTATGTAAAAATCTAAAGATTTAGAGTATTTTGCACAAACACTATGTTGTATAGGTGTATGAATAAAATATGTCAATTCTTACCAATGTTAACACTGGTCACATGAGAATATGCCATTACCGTGAAATAAGTGATGACGCGTAATTAGTGATGTTGAGTATATAAACATGAAACTTGGAATACTTGTTTATCATGACAATCTGCAGTTTGTCAGACTATTGCCAAGTTATCTCCCTCTTATAGTTTGTTGCTAGATCTCTGCACTCATCTTATTGAAGGTATTTTTGATTAAATTTACTTTTCAGTCTTTTGAGTAGCTAATTTCATATTTAGAGCTGTGACCAAAAGTCAGTAATGCTACACTGTGTCTATATAGAATTTTTGATAGTGGTATTAATCATGTATATACCTAATATGGCATTTTCTGTTTTAATTGCTCCTCTATTTTTTACCTCCATTTTTACTTTTCTAGAATCATTAATAAGATTATGATAACATCACAAATAAACTGTTAAAAATGTTATGACAAAAGAAAAATCTTTAAATATAGCTTAAAACCCTTTAAATGTTGTCAACAGATAAAACATAGGCGTCATGCAGGTTCAAGGGGACACATTAAGACATACTTAACTTTCTCAAGAAAATTATTTTTCACAAGTTAAAAGAAACTTGACTGAACAAAATCAGAAATTGGAAAATATTTTTGTCTATGATTATGTATATTGTATATTTAGATTTAGAAGAAGTTTTAGATTTGTTTCAATAAATGTTAATTTTTCTCTTGCAAAAGCTGTATCTTTGTATAGTTTTACGGTATTTAAAATTCCCACATATTATTATTATATGCGTATCACTTTTGGATACAATATCATTTAATAAATTTAGGAACTCATGTGAGGTGGATTTGCATGTATATATGATTTTTAGTTTTAGAGTGTATACTTAAAAAGTTATACACAGTATACAGAGATTAAATGTTCAAATGTTTACTGTTATTTAAATCCTTACTTTTTGTTTCACAAGTTTCAAAATTTCATTCAAATGTGAATGTTCGAGTATTTGTGTACATCCTCCATACATGTACTTTTCACACACAAAGTAAAGTTTCCTGTCACATGAATCATCATTCCATTTGCCTTGTTGATTCACCAGTGTCATCATGCAGTCTTCATCAACTGGATATTTGTCTGGTTGCCCTGGTAACCAGTACCTCCAGTGCAAGTTGATGTAACTTGAACTTCATTTGAAATCTCCCTCATGCTGATGGTCATTAGCTCCTACCCAGAATCTGGCCCAATCACTAGTACCCCAGTAATGATAAGATCTAGCTGTTGATAAAACAAAGGTCACTTCATCCATGTCACTGTACTCCACAAGTTTTGCTTCATTTTTCTTACACCATTCCTGAGCTTGGTACCAATCTGCTGCTTCTTTCTTCAATATGTAACAGGAGTTCATATAAGGGAACCAGCCAGGTGGACATTGATTTAGTTTGCTGATCTCTTTTTCCAATGCCTCATACTTTTTCAATAAGATTTCATACTTCTGTGTTAAACTGTCAGTTTTTTCTATCGATTTGTTTGACACTTCCTGGCATAGAATTTGGCTTATATTCCATACGAAATTATTGCATGTTTCTAAGCAGTTCAATATATCTGCATCATAATTTTGGAAATTAGACACCTGCAAAGTTACATTGTCAAGGCGATATTTAAAGCCTTAGATTTTCTTTGAAATGTTTCTTCAGAAACAAAAATAGTAGAAATTTCTACAAAACACACAATGAGAGAACAGCTTAATATCTATTTTGGTGTAAATGTGTGATACTTTAAAGAAACTTTTTCTCTTTGTGATCAAGTTAAGAAGGAGAAAAAACACTATGCAGTCACATGTTACATGATGTTTTAATTTGAACTTATGAAGTGGTTAATATTGTTAATAGGCCATGCAGTAAGTGCTCAATGTATTAATAGTTTGGTATCAAGGAAAAATAGTTTTACAAAAATAAATTTAAAAAATGGAACCATTTGTCTGTCCTTAAAGGAATAAAGTCAAAGTGTGAAATTTAAAGAACTGGTGCTTCTGCAGTACTGCATGTGTACTTCATCAGATGGTTTTATGTAATTTTTCAAATTATTGTAAATTTAAGGGAAATTACACATGAAAATTTCAGCATTATTTAATAATTGATTTTTTTATTATGAAAGTATTCAAGTAATGAGATTTTATTTAATTATCAGGGGCTTGGTGCAAAATGATTGCATCTACATCTTTATTTCATATGAGTATCAACTGTTTAACATCAAGCTTTCAGTATGTTGTTTGTTAAAATATTTATTTAAACTCATAATTTTCACACACAAAGATTTAAAGTTTTATTCAATTACTTGTTTTGTTTATGTCCAATAAAGTCATGGACAATCACTGTAAAACAAAAAAATAACACCTGAGCCTAAAATAACTTTGCGTAATTGTACAGGTATCTCCATCAATTTTAATTAAATTAAGAAACATAATTTCAAATAAATACACATACATTATCTTATATTAAAGCATTTTTACAGACTAATCATTATTTTACACCTTAATTACATCATTATCTTCAGAACAAGATAAATGGTCATTGACATTAAAAAATCTGCCTGATTTACTGTCTATCTGATGCTCAGGGAAATTGCAAGACATAAATCTTTACAGTACTTATTTTACTCATACTGTGATCATATAAGCACAATAAAAATACAACATTTGACGCTAATGAGGCCCAGCAAATAGAATCAATTTTTGTTTTGGTGCTGAATGATACATACATGTCCTTTAATGTAACAAAAGGGTAAAAATCTGTGAAAAAGTACTACAATGTTATGCAAGTTTTAGCTTAAAAGTGTCTTAACAGGTGACAAAAAAGCAAAATAAGGATGTCCATAGTTGAGCAATCATAAACAGTGGTGAAAGTTGAAAATAAAACAGTTAGTAGTCTCTCAGAAATTTTAGAATATAAAAAATTGACTTTTAAGAATTTCAAAAGACAATTGGTGTCTCCTATAAATAAGTGACCAGGTATCAGAAGTATATACTACTACACAGAGTTGATACTTTTAAAATGAGAAATGTTTGCATAATGTCACATAACTTAATTATGATTTTGGAGTGTAGGCGGCATCACGTCACAAGATAGTCTTATTATTTGTTCTGTGTTATCAAATTAAATGATATCTTGATCTTGCTGACTGTGCACAAACAACTGATGACACTCAACAATGACTTATTAAATGTCAATAAAAACTTCAAGAAGCCTGTTATAACTATTTTATATTTAAATTTTGTTGTCCATGACTTATTTGGACAGCCCTCGTAAATGTACAAGTATTGGTTTACATCCTTACATTTCACACACAAAGTTAAGTTTCCCTTTACATGGAGCATAATTCCATTTGCCTTGTTGATTAACCTGTGTCACCATGCAGTCTTCATCAACAGATATTTTGTCTGGTTGCCCTTGTAACCAGTAGTTGAAGTGTAAGTTGTTGTGACTTGAACTCCATTTGAAAACTCCCTCATGCTGAAGGTCAGTAGCTCCTACCCAGAATCCAGCCCAATTACGTGTACCCCAGTAATGATAAGATCTAGCTGTTGATAAAACAAAGGTCACTTCATCCATGTCACTGTACTCCACAAGTTTTGCTTCATTTTTCTTACACCATTCCTGAGCTTGGAACCAATCTACTGCCTCTTTCTTCAATATGTAACAGGAGTTCATATAAGGGAACCAGCCAGATGGACATTTCTTGTTTTCCAATGTCTCATATTTTTCCAACAAGCTGTCATACTTCTGTGTTAAACTGTCCAGTTGTTTCATACATATAGAATTGTTTGATGTTTCTCGGTAGTTCTTCAGATTTGTAGCTTGAGCATTACTTAAAATGTTTATAAGATTAGTATTCATTGCTAGTCTTGTCCAAATATCTTCATCATTTTCCTTGAGGTATGACATCTGAGACTGAATGTTGTCAGTATGATTCTCAACTGATTGAAGCCTTATTTCCAAGCTTCTATTCCACACAGGAGATGTAGAAATCACTGTTATACACAGAAAAACAGTGGTGATCATAAGTTTAATCCCCATATTTATTTTATTCTTTCAATGGTAAATAGAAAATTATTGTCCTTATGTAAACAAAACTTGTTATGAGACAAGACTCATATAGGTAGCTAACAAATACAGGAAGATTTTGAAGATTTAAGCGATTCTTTTGTTAGCTCACCTGTCACAAAGTGACAGGGTGAGCTTTTGTGATCGCTTTTCGTCCGGCGTCCGTCCGGCCGTAAACTTTTACTTTAAATGACATCTCCTCATAAACCACAGAGCCAATTTTATCCAAACTTCACAGGAATGTTCCTTTGGTGGTAACCTTTAAAATTGTTCAAAGAATTTAATTCCATGCAGAACTCTGGTTGCCATGGCAACCGAAAGAAAAAACTTTAAATACCTTCTTTTAAAAAACCCAAAGAGCTAGAGCTTAGATATTTGGCATATAACATCTTCTAGTGAGTGTCTACCAAGTTTGTTCAAATAAAAGCCCTGGGGTCAAAATTGGCCCCGCCCCAGGGGGTCATTGATTTTCCCTATATGCATATAGTAAAAACTTAAAAAATCTTCTTTTAAAGAACCCAAAGAGCTAGAGCTAAGATATTTAGCATGAAACATCTTCTTATGAGTGTCTGCCAAGTTTGTTCAAATAAAAGCCCTGGGGTCAAAATTGGCCCCGCCCCAGGGGGTCATTGATTTTCCCTATATGCATATAGTAAAAACTTAAAAAAATCTTCTTTTAAAGAACTCAAAGAGCTAGAGCTAAGATATTTAGCATGAAACATGTTCTAATGGGTGTCTACCAAGTTTGTTCAAATAAAAGCCCTGGGGTCAATATTGGCCCCGCCCCGGGGGTCATTGATTTTCCATATATGTGTATAGCAAAAACTTAAAAAATCTTCTTTGGAGAAACCAAAATAGCTAGAGTTTAGATATTAAGCATGAAACATCTTCTAGTGAGTGTCTACAAAGATTGTTCAAATAAAAGCCCTAGGGTCAAAATTGGCCCCGCCCCGGGGGTCATTGATTTTCCTTATATGTGTATAGCAAAAATTTAAAAATCTTCTTTGAAAAAACCCAAATAGCTACTGTTTAGATATAAAGCATGAAACATCTTCTACTAAGTGTCTACAAAGTTTGTTCAAATAAAAGCCCTGGGGTCAAAACTGGCCCCGCCCCAGGGGTGTCATTGATATGTGTATAGTAAAAACTTAAAAAATCTTCTTTTAAAAAACCCAATGAGCTAGAGCTTAGATGTTAAGCATGAAACATCTTCTTATAGGTGTCTACCAAGTTTGTTCAAATAAAAGCCCTTGGGTTAAAATTAGCCCTGCCAGGGGGGGAGGTCATTGTTATGCTCCCCGAAAAAATTTCGGGGGAGCATATAGTCGCCGCCTTGTCCGTCCGTCTTTTCGTCCGTCCGTCCTTCCGTCCGTCCGTCGCCTTTTCTTGTCCGGGACATAACTCTAAAAGTATAAGAGGTATCAACATGAAACTTTGTAGGTAGATAGATCTCATTGAGTAGGTGTGCAGTGCACAAGAACCGTAACTCTGCCTTGCCTAATTTTTGAATTACCCCCCTTTGTTTTTTTTACACTTTGAAATTTGTCCGGGACATAACTCTAAAAGTATAAGAGGTATCAACATGAAACTTTGTAGGTAGATAGATCTCATTGAGTAGGTGTGCAGTGCACAAGAACCGTAACTCTGCCTTGCCTACTTTTGGAGTTATTGCCCTTTGTTCATTTTGACACTTTGAACTTTGTCTGGGACATTACTCTAAAATTATAAGAGTTGTCAACATGAAACTTTGTAGATAGATAGGTCTCATTGGGTGGAAGTGCAGTGCTTAAGAATCATTACTCTGCCTTGCCTTATTTTGAAGTAATTGCCCTTTGTTTATTTTTACTTTTTGACTTTTGTCCTGGACAATACTTTAAAACTATTAGAGATATCAACATGAAACTTTGTAGGTAGCTAGATATAATTGGATAGAATTGCAATGCTTTAGAACCTAAACAAAGCCTGGTCTAATTTTGGAGTTATTGCTCTTTGTTCATTTTTATACGCCCGTTTGAAAAACGGGACGTATTATGGGAACGCCCCTGGCGGGCGGGCGGCGTCCAATTTTGTCAGGAGCATATCTCCTACATGTATGGAGGGATTTTAATGAAACTTCATATAAATGTTCACCACTATGAGGAGCAGTGTCGCGCACATGAGCCAGGTCTCTAGGTCAAAGGTCAAGGTCACACTTAGAGCTCATTGAAAAATGCTTGTCCGGAGCAAAACTTCCACATGTATAGAGGGATTTCAATATTATTTGGCACAAATGTTCACCATTGTGAGGCGGAGTGTCGCGTGCAAGATTCAGGTCCTTGCGGCCAAGATCAAGGTCACACATAGAGGTCAAAGTTCAGATAAAAATATGAAGATGTGTATATGGACCATTTAGTCATCATTTATTGAGGGATTGTAACACAAATGGTCATTATCAAAGACTATGGCTGTGATACATATAATTTAGGTCAATATATACAAGGTCAAGGTCACTAAAGATGATGAAATATCCAGATTTTGTAAATAGAATTTAATCAAAGGGAGACAACAAAGTTATTACTTTGTTCATAAATGACTTACACAATTACTCCCCTTGATCTTTTTTCACTTTCAATTCTAAAAATAGAATTTAATCAAAGGGCATGAAATAATCCTCTTTCTTGGACTTGAGTATGTTCTAAAGAATGTAACATTTATTTACACATGTTTCATTCATTGGTCAAGATTCTTAACTGTGATAACTATGGTGTTCTGTAGACTTGGTATTTGTTCATAAAGATCATACAGTAATTACCTTATCAAATGTAAATACTTTCTCATAGAAATTTAATTATATTTTAATTTTCAAGTAAATATCAGTTCAGCTCATACAAAGATTAAGAATTGTAATGAAATGTATTTCCCTAGAATAAAAATCTTAAATCAGAATTTTCTAGTTATTAAATTACATGTACTTTTTAACGCACGCTTAAAAAAAGATAAAAAATATGAAGATGTGTATAGGGACGATTTAATCATCATTTATTGAGGGATTGTAACACAAATGGTCATTATAATGACTATGGATGTGACACATGTACTTTAGGTCAATATATGCAAGGTCAAGGTCACTAAGATGGTGAAATATCCAGATTTTGTCTGGAGCATATCTCCTACATGTATGGAAGAATTTTTATAATACTTTATGGAAATGTTCACCACCATGATATGTATTGCTCCATGCATGATCCAGGTCTCCAGGTCAAAGGTCAAGGTCACACTTAGAGCTCATTGAAAAACGCTTGTCCGGAGCAAAACTTCTACATTCATAGGGGGTTTTCAATATAACTTGGCACAAATGTTCACCATTGTGAGGCTGAGTGTCGCATGCAAAATTCAGATCCCTGCGACCAAAGTCAAGGTTACACATAGAGGTCAAAGTTCAGATAAAAATTTGAAGATGGTTATAGGGACCATTTAGTCATCATTTATTGATGGATTGTAGCACAAATGGTAACTATCATGACTACAGGTGTTACACATTTAATTTAGGTTAATATTTGCAAGGTCAAGATCACTGGAGATGATTAAATATCCAGATGTTGTCCGGAGCATATTTTCTACATGCATGGAGGAATTTTAATGTTACTTTTATAGAATTGTTCACCACCATGAGACGTAGTGCCCTGCACATAAACCAAGTCTCTAGGTCAAAGGTGAAGGTCACAGTTAGAGCTCATAGAAAAACACTTGTCTGGAGCAAAACTTCTACATGCATAGAGGGATTTCAATATAATTTGGCACAAATGTTCATCATTGTGAGGCTGAGTGCCGTGCATAAAATTCAGGTCCCTGCGACCAAGGTCAAGGTCACACATTCTGTGCATATCTTCCCTATTGATTTGTTTTAAGGTTCATTTAACAACACAGTGCCAAGAATAAAAACTTGCTTGCTAGATAACACTTATCCATAATGCCCCCATCTCCATCTAAAGCTTTTTCGTAAACGGGCGTATTTTGTGACTATGGCACCCTTGTTACACTTTGACTTTTACCCGGGACATAACTCTGATATCATCAGGAAACTTTATAGATAGATAGATCTCATTGAATAGAAGTGCAGTGCAAAAAAACCATAACTCTGCTTTGCCTAATTTTGGAGTTTTTGCCCTTTGTTCACTTTTTTTATACTTTCCTGTGTCCAGAACCTTCTCGGGGAGCATCACCCGGTTCAACCGGTTCTTGTTTTTCATTATATATGTATAGTAAAAACTTAACATCATGACACATCTTCTAATGGGTTTCAAATAAAAGCCCTTGGGTTTAAACTGGCCTTGCTCCGGGGGCCTATATACAGGTGAGCGACCTCAGGGCCATCATGGCCCTCTTGTTTTGTTTTTCTCTTTGTTATTTTTAAAAAAGCCCATTATTCAAACTTTTTTAAAAGTATAAACATGAGACTTGGTCTTTGTTATTTTAAATATAGCCCATTATTCAAATTGTTTTAAAGTATACTGTGCTCCTCTTAGTTCACGGTACTTAATGCTTTGAAACCAGGAAGAAAACAAAAAATGAAACTAATGGTACAAATATTGTCATAAGCTATAACATAAAGGTATTTTCCATTGTATGACACAAGGAAACAACAATATATTCAGTCGAAATCAATTTTTATGGACCAAAAGTAGACCATATGTCGGCCATTTTGAAAACAGTATGTCATCATTTAAATCGCGTTAATGGTGTTACATTTCAGTTAAAATTTCTACATGTTATTTTGCTTGATTTTAAATATTAAAATTATCCTTACTTTGTAACTCAAAATTTATTTTGTCAACAAACAAAAACATTTAGAGAATGATGATTGTTTCAGACATACGCACAAATTTAATGGACTATTATTGCTTTTTCGCAGAAATTTGTAAAATGTTGTTCTTTTTTACCTAAAAATCTAAAGATTTAGAGTATTTTGCACAAAAACTTTGTTGTATAGGTGTATGAATAAAATATGTCAATTCTTACCAATTTTAACACTGGTCACATGAAAATATGCCATTACCGTGAAATAAGTGATGACGGGGAATTAGTGATGTTGAGTATATAAACATGAAACTTGGAATACTTGTTTATCATGACAATCTGCAGTTTGTCAGACTATTGCCAAGTTATCTCCCTTTTATAGTTTGTTGCTAGATATCTGCACTCATCTTATTGAAGGTATTTTTGATTAAATTAACTTTTCAGTCTTTTGAGTAGCTAATTTCATATTTAGAGCTGTGCCAGTGACTTTGACCAAAAGTCAGTAATGCTACACTGTGTCTATATAGAATTTTTGATAGTGGTATTAATCATGTATATACCTAATATGGCATTTTCTGTTTTAATTGCTCCTCTATTTTTTACCTCCATTTTTACTTTTCTAGAATCATTAATAAGATTATGATAACATCACAAATAAACTGTTAAAAATGTTATGACA